TTTTCAAATTATTCACTAGCCTTCTAAAATTTTAATACTGACAAAGTTTTGAAAAATTCCTTTCAAAAAGATGGTATTATTATTATTATTATTATTATTATTATGAAAACTAATTAAATTACATTATTTACACTGTTTATATTCAGGCTTTTCTCCTCATCTTTGTTGTTGGTATCACAATGCTTCAGGCGTTGCGCCCTCCAAATATGAGGTCAATAGTCCGAATATAAATAGTGTAGAAAATGATAACTCCTCATCCCAGAAATTCAGACAGAAATTACTTTAATTGCAGTTGTAAGCATTTTCCTGGAATTATTCTAATGAATAATGCTGTTAAACGGTTTAAAAGACAATGGAAATATGAGAGATTAAAGTAATCATTGTAGTGTTTTCACTAATGGTGCTATGGGATGCCATGACAATCCTCAATGAAAGACATGGGGATGGGTTAGTAAACGAAGACATTTTTAAGCTGATTCATCACAAAGGCGTTAGTCATAAGTGTGTTGCTGGCCGGTGTATGCGTTGAGAGATAAACACGTGTCTCCTGAAATGTCCATAACAAACATGGCAGACACGGGATGTGAATCCACGTAAAGAAATGTAAGGAAACGACAAGAACATATATATATATATATATATATATATATATATATATATATATATATATATACACAATGATAATGTATTAACAATAAAGGGTTACAAATGAAAAAGACAAAGATGTGTATCAAATGAATGTGAAAACCTTTCGGGTGAGAAATATGTGTAGTGAGTGAATGTTCGCACGTACGTGTGTGTGTGTATGTATATATTGTTCCTACGTTTCCCAGAAGAAAACGCGTTCTCCGCGAGAGATTTACATGTTGACGTATTAGCGGAAAAGTAAGAAGGGAATGATAAACTCTTATTGCAGAGTATTTATAGTCCCGAGAGCTTCCCCTCGGAGCAGTTTCGAAAATTTGGAGGTGGTAACAAGTTGGTTGGTTGATTGGTTCTTTTTTGTCTAGCAGCATATTAACCTCTATGAGTTATTTAATGACGAAATCTTAATATTTTGTACGACATTTTTTTAATTTTATTTTTTGAGATAATAATGGTTTTAGTGATACAAGTCTTACTAATTAATTAACCCATAACTGTGGGAGAAGAGGTGGATTCATTTGTACGTAAGTGAATATAATCAAACCCAACTGGAATTGGAACTCTGCTCTCAATTAACAATTTCTGTGCCATTATTATCAATTATACTAGCCGCACATCCAAGCTTACAGCACCTGGTAAGTTGTCACCCATCTAGGTACTGACCAAACCTGACGTTGCTTAACTTTAGTGAGCATATGGGAAACAGTATTTCAATATGATGTGGCCGTATTTCAATGTTGATTAAGCTGATACTTTACTTTTTGTTGTTATGGCTTCATTTTGAAAAATGAGAATTTACGAAGGTTTACTCAACTCGTGACAAACCATCCACATCAGTTTCAGAAAACAAGTTGAACAGCTTCAAGTTTTATACCATTCTGGAGCTTTATTCACTGATAATCAAGCATTTGAATTGTCTTACTACTTTAAGTTCCTGACCATTGACTTTAATCTTGGTCGAAAGCTCTTTCCTATTGTTCATCATGGATTGATTTTTTCTTTTCGGAATTAATCTCCATAATATTTTTTTTAATAAAGTGATTATTATAATTTCCTATGATTATTGTTGTAAACTTATTTCCTTCTGGATACCAACCAGCGACCTAAGGTCAGAAATGGCACCATTTTCCACTGAACATTTTTGAAAAATAAATAAATAAATAAAACAACCCAAGATCACACACATTTTGCTTAGATAAATACCTTCGTAAGGTGTGAGCTGTTCATGCAAGAACAATTTTTTGTATTAATTTAAGGCATGGACGACTAGGGATTACTTTATTGAGTCTTGTAGGGACGTTATTATGATAAATAAATAAAAATAAAATATACAATAATAATAATGATGAAAATTATAAATAAAATGAAACAATAAATTAAATAAATAAGTAAAATAATAAAATACTCCCAGCATGCAACAAAAACTGTTCCTGTTGGAAACACAGACATCCTACAAAAAGACGTTAAATTCAATCTCTTCACCACAAACCTTAGTACAGGCAACACGTGTCCAACTTTTCTCTGTTATATGGTTTGTAATGATACAGAGTTATTTCTCCATTTTATCACATGAACCATAAATACAATTGTAACCAAACAATACACACACCAAACACACACAAAATATATAAATAAATTGCATGAAATTAACATACAATTTACCATGCTTTTCCTGTTATTTCTGTACGTTTTATTTCCTGTCAAATATGCTTTTATCTCCGTGAACACAAGGCTATTTTCTGCTATGATGTTAGTGAAACCTCACAGTCTATCGGAACTTTTTTCTAATCAAACCAACGCCCCAGCTACTATTGGAATTATTCATGACCACATGTGCGACATTTTTTAGATTTCCACTTCAAGATTTTGATAGTTTTTTTGAAAATTTTCAAAGATACATTACAGTTTGCAATCTTAAAATCTAAAAATGTTTTCTGGTTTTAAATAGCCTGCAAAGGGTTGATAAACTGTAGAAAATAAATGAATGAATCAATCAATAAATAACAAATATGGAAAATAAATAAAATTATGGAGACCTCAAAAATGTGTCGGCTTTAAAGATCAACTTTCTCATGTCAGGTGGGTTAGGAACAAAGTGATGTGATGGATTGGTAGGCTAAAAATCGACTGGTGTATTGACATGCAGAAGAAGTAACAATGAAGAAATAAGTTGTCGTTTCAAGGCGTCGTGATATACTTCAGTTTATGGTGTGTTAAAACATAAAAGAGGCAGCCACAGATGATGTTAGCGAGGGTTCAGTTATAGGTCAGCACTATATACAAAGGTAAATAAAAATAAAGCTAATTGCCATACAACTCCTTTACTTTATGATTTACCCTCGTATATGAGAGTAGTAGATTGATGAAACCCATGATGAAAAAAATTGTTGATAGAAATATGAGTGAGAGTTGTTTGAAACAAAATTAATTATCTTCTGAATGGTATAGTCATTTTATTTATTTATTAGTTTTTACGGTTTATCAACCTTTTGCATGTTATTTAAAGCCAGAAAAATTTAGATTGTAAGAATTTTTTTGGAGATATTGATTTACTGATACAAGTCCTACTAATTAACCCTTACCTGGGGGAGAAGTCATAGATTCATAACTTTCCTAAGGGTATTTGCCTTCCAAACCGTTATCCATTATATCACCCGCATATTTGAGCTTACAGCACTTGTTATCCCCAAACTAGGCACTGACGAGGCTCGACGTTGCTTAACTTCGGTGATCGTACGAGAACGGATGTTTCAACATGATATGGCCGTGAGCCCTTTATACCACCCGCACATCCAACTTACAGCAACTGGCATTGCCAAGTTGTCACCCAACTGGGTTCTGACCAGGTTCGACGTTGCTTAGCTGCAGTGACTATACGAGAACCGCTGTCTCATAAGCCGTATCGTCATTTTTTTTACCAGTGAAATGATTCCAGAAAAAACTAAGCACAAAATAAAATAAATGTTTGTGTAATGAACTCGTTGTGCCGCTTTCATATTTAACATTACATTTTATTACAATTCGTCAATTAACCTATACCAGTACTTATGCCAGTGGTTCTGTGGTCATTCTTCCAAAACCTAGTCCTTACATTCTCTTATGCGATGTATGAGAGACTGCACAATTTTTTTTGTGGAGTAGTTGATTTTATAACTGCCTCTCTTATGTAGTTCATTGTAACAATACGATTTCTCACCCATGCTTAGGAGATATGTAGATAAATTCCTTTTCCTTTTAAGTCCACTTAATTATCTGAGTTTCATAGGAAATTTGTCTACAGTCCATTTTTTAGCCAAATTAAGTGTCAGTTTTCAGGATTTCTGTTTCTAGTCGTCTTTGAATTGGCAAACATAAAATTTTGTCAATGATTTTAGATAATCATAAAAGTAGTTCTTTGAAGAAACTGACCCCCACCAAAAAATAAACGAATGGGTGGTCTCTTGTTCAGGAGTACAAAGGGACGGATAGAGGTGGTCAGATCTCAGCCAGTATCCATATTAGAGAGAAGCAGGAAGTCAGTAGTAGGGAGGTGACAAGTAAGTAGGTAGGCGGCTTGTAAGCGAGTATGTGGCCAGTGGCCAGTGGTCAGTGAGAAAGGGACTGGCAGCCAGGGAAGATGAAAAGATCAGCGAGTAGTGAGAAATCAGCAGTTGCCTAATATTGAAATTATTACGGAGTCGCTAACTGGGTGCCTTGTGATTGGATAAAAACAACCAATCACAGGCTACCTTTTTAGACTTTCACCAAATCCCCACGTGAGCGTTTTTTACAAACGTTCTTCCTCTTTTGCTTGTCGGGAACCTCAGAGACAACACGTTACCCATCTGCACTCCGTCATCTAAACATCAGGACTCTATTTTCTTCAACCAAGCCAAACAGGAAAGATAAAACTGTTATAAGGACGCATTTTGCAAATAAGTCCCGCAAACCGACTGTTTGCAATTTGAAACTTTACTTCTGTTTTCCTACAAACTTTACTTCTGTTTACCTACAAATACATGTTTTTTTCATACATTTTTCAACTGTGTTTGTGTTCCTTTCTTCTTTCCGGCATCACAATATTTTTGTTACCAATATAATTGGAAAAATCCCAATACTAGACAGTCAGTGGATGCAAGGGACCTCTTCACGTGGCCGGAAGGAGATAGCAGTTCAGCTGAAGGAAAACATAGACGGCCAAGTGAGAATTCTTATTGTTGTTATTTCCCAACCAGCGAGTCTTGAAAAGCAATTGTCGTTATTTTTGTTTAATACGATCACGGCTAAGGAGACAAATCTCTGATCATAACGAGTCAGGTGTATATGTAGACACAGCCGACCTTGCATGTCATCACAGGTTGTGCAGTGAACGACGGATGAACGGGGCACGTCATCACATCATTATCGCCCGTGCAAAAGCGGATGCTGCTGTAAACTCACATTATTCTACATTCGGTGGCTGGGTTCCTTGGTCTGGTGTGGATTTAGTGTAGAGACCTATTTGAGTATTACACGACAAATGTTTACACCCTGACATGTCAAATGCCATGGAATTAGTGCTTGGCGATGTGCAGCAACTTAAAATGGCATCGATTCCACAAGTGGCCAAGAAACCTCTGTTGAGATTTCCACAGTTCTCTGATATTTGCAAGTGCAGAATCTTGCGTGCAAATAGATCCCTCCTTTCTACCATATAAAGTCTCGTGTCGAGCGAATGTTGTGGCTACACCATTTGTCAGAAGTCTCCAGAATGTTGCTGAAACCAATTCTAGGTAACTTGGGGCAAATAACAGTGAGAATTATTCCGCTGAAATAACCCATATTTGTTTAGGTACATGGAATTCATGCATGGCCGCAAATGGTCATGAAAAATTGCAATGTAGCAGTTTGAACACTTATTATTATTATTATTGTAGGGATACATCAGGTTATTACCCCCATTTAGCCGAGATAAAATCACGTAGGTCACGTGACGGCCGCCTAGTGACCACTTCATAGAGTGACGAAAGTGGTCAGTCCTTTAGTCAGTTTCCAGGAGTCAAATTGAGCAGTTGCTTTTTTTTTTATATTTAGCGTGGGTCTCTTGGCCCGGGTTGAGGCTAAATCTTCTTTCTTCAGCAGCTTACATATGTCCTTGCTAGTGACATAGCAGATAAACCCGACCCGCTCGAATTTGGAATAATAAATATGGCATTTTCATTTCCTTTTCACATTGCTTGTAGTGCAGATACGCGTTATAATTTCTCTACGTGGTAGAAATGTAAATATTTATATATAATTTTGTGTATGACTTAGTATTATAAAACTCTCTCTGAGAACAAAACATGTTTGTCATCGCTTTCCTTTCTGCTATTCCGTTCCATCCGTGAAATAAGGTGTTATAGGTGTTATATCGTGTATATGATAATGCCCATAATGAGGGAAACGAAAATGGGAGAATATTCATTTCTTCCATTACTTACTCATGATTATTATTATCCCGTTGGTGCCACATTGGCGTAGTAAATGGAAATTCAATAAGACTTCTAAACTCAAGAACATTTCAGAGAATCCTCGCAGAGTAAAAGATGGCAGTTTTTTGGAGGTCTACAATCTTTGTCTCAGTTCCTATTTTCCATAAGCGCTCTTTCAATTTTCTAAATGGTATTCAAAGTGCAGCCATTACTACAGGAATTGCTTCAACAGTCATGTTCTATAGCTTTTTCAACTTTTTAACCAGGTCCTGTTATTTTCCCATTTTCTCACTATCTTTGAAGTCCACTTTTGTATCGTATGGAACAAGAAAGTCAATATCTCGCCTTATCTATAACACTATGCACAGGTCTTCGTGTTTCAATAACATGATCTGTTTAGATCAAAAAATTCTATTTCATGATGGCTAATTTTATTCCGTTGTTTCTTTGACTTTTTATCCCCCCCCCCAAAAAAAACAAATCTATCGATTCATCCTCGTTATATAATAAATAAATGTTTTCTTTATGAAAAAAATGCTCATACTCGACTTATACACAAATATATACGACACATCTTGAGTAAAAAAAGAAAAGCAAAAACACTTTTCTAGATGAACATACTTAAGCTCACATATACGAATGGTCACACAATTCCCTGATGCTTAAATGACCTGCCACGCCCTTTATTTAGGCCACACATACTTCAGAATGCAATCAAATACAAAAAAGGTTCACGTTTCTACAGACATGAAAAGTTTTCCTTGAGGAAAAGCCATATCTTTAAATTACGTCAGGTTGTACTCATTGTCAGTCAGACATCCAGACTGCATAAATTTATTTACTAACTGAACATCCTATTGTTAGATCATCTTATCTCTCTTCTTTTCTATTTTTCTTCTTTCTTTTCCTTACTCCTCTCATTTCTAATTGGGCTAATTCTACCCGTTCTTTGTTCTTTGCTCTCATATCGTCTGCTTTTTTTTTCTATTTTTGTTTTCCTTTTTTTCTCTTCTTTCTCTCCCCTCTTTTTTTCGTTTCGTTTTGCTTTATTTTCTCCTTTCTTTCTTTTTCTTTCCCACTCCTCTTGTTTATCTGCTTTATTTCTCATTTTTTTTCTTTTGTCTACTTTTCACTTCTTTTCTCGTCTGTATCTTTCTCCATGCCTATTTTACTTCTTTCTTTCTTTGTCTTCTTTTTGGCTTCTTTTCATCGCCCTCTCTTTCTTTTTCTAATTGAGCACTTCTTCTCATTTCTCTTTCTTGTATCACTCTCTGCTTTTTCCCTTCTTTTCTTTTTTCTCTCTTTCTCTTTGTTTCTTTTCTCTTTATCCCCTACCCCCACCTCTCCTTTTTTTTTCTTCTTCTATTTTTTACCTTCTGTTTCTGGCAAACGCTAGGAGGAATGATGATGACTATCGTAATGCGTAATGGTTACGATGGCGACGAATCAACAAACAGGGTTCCTTTCGTCACTCCTGTGTACAGCTTCAAGAACAAAATAATAATAATAATAATAATAATAATAATAATAATAATAATAAACAGGACACAATCATCTTTATGTTTGTTTTATTATAAAAAAAATAAAGTTTTCTGGGATTCAAATACACACATGAACGTTTGTGAGTAAGAGGGGGGGGGCACCTTTCAAGATTCTTTCTGCAGTAGCAGCAAAATCAGACATTTCTCCCCGTGACTGAACTTAGCAAAATGCTAAAAATAACTAACTAACTAAATAAATAAAAACAATAGCTTTCTTTGTTTATCATTTTTTTTTAAATTTATTTTATTAATAGTACGGAGAGAGTGCGTATAGGTATATATACGCTTGTCGGCACGTGAATTCGTCATGCCGAGTTCGTTTTCCATTCAATTCTGTTTCGTTCAGTTCGTACCAATGTCACCGAAAAATGGCATCGATCTATCTTCCTCATTCTGTGGATTTAAATACCAGGGCTGATAGGGTTCTCTTGAGGTGGCAAACTCTGAATTCAAACCCCGTCTGAAGAGGGATGGGTACGGCCAGACTATAGGCTAAGAAGACGCAACATTACTGTCATTTCTCTAGTATATGTCTTGCCTTTACGGCCTCCACTGGTTTACGGGTTTAGTGCTGTAACGATTTATAGTACAGTTTTTTTTTTTTTTTTTTTTAATTATGCCTTTTCCCCTACTCCATTATTATTATTATTATTGTTTCCTTCTTTCAAACGCACGGGTCACCTCCTTCAAAACAAACGGTAGCTACAAGTAGGAGCTTAAAGTAATCAAGTAATATTTCAAGACACAGCCTCTCTGTCCTTTATCATATTTTGGGTTTACACCATTTTGTCTGCTAGAGGACTTCTTTTAATGCCCACTATGTGGCGTGTATATAGCAGTAAAAAAAAAAAAAAAAAAAAGAAAAAAAAAAGCACAAACCCTACTTAACTTTATTCGTCAACAACAGGATGCCGGAATGACAAGATGTGTCTCTTTTCCTCTCCAGAGTCTTTTTTTAAATTCCCAACGAACCACTTGTCGCATCGCATACAACGTAATACTATTTTTATACTGACTCCTGCCTGTCTATATTTCTAAGATTAGGTATTATGTACACTATTTACATTATTCTGACTATTGTCCTCATCTTTGCCGACATATTTATCACAACGTTTCGGCCTTTCAGTATCTGTCTATATTTCTGAGATGAGGCATTATGTACACTATTTACATTATTCGGACTATTGTCTTCATCTTTGTTGCCATATTTATCACAACGTTTCGGCCTTTCAGTATCTGTCTATATTTCTGAGATGAGGTATTATGTACACTATTTACATTATTCAGACTATTGTCCTCATCTTTGTTGTCATATTTATCACAACGTTTCGGCCTTTCAGTATCTGTCTATATTTCTGAGATGAGGTATTATGTACATTATTTACATTATTCTGACTATTGTCCTCATCTTTGCCGCCATATTTATCACATCATTTCAGCCTTTCAGTATCTGTCTATATTTCTGAGATGAGTTATTATGTATACTATTTACATTATTCGGACTATTGTCATCATCTTTATCGCCATATTTATTACAACGTTTCGGCCGATGTACGCTCCAGGTTTTCTTCAGGTGGTTGGAATGTCGAACTGAACCCTTTATTTAGCTCACTGGGGTAGACTGTTCTAGTTCCACGCCTTTATCCACTGTATCATATGTCCTAAAGAACACATGGCACAGTGGATAAAGGCGTTAGTTAGATCCAGTGACAGGACCCAAAGAGTGTGAGTTCAATATGTAGTTAAGGCAGTGGAGAACTTGGTGAAGGGAATTAACAGGAGATAACTGATAACTGGCACGTGGAACTAGAACAGTCTACCCCAGTGAACGAAATAAAGGGTTCAGTTCGACATTCCAGCCACCTGAAGAAGGCTGGAGCATACAAAAGCCGAAACGTTGTAATAAATATGGCGACAAAAATGAGGACAATAGTCCGAATAATGTAAATAGTGTATACCTTTTAACATAAACGTAGGATGGAATTAATTCCACCGTGTGACTCAAGTGTAAAACAGAACTACGTTTACTTTTTGACAACTGTAAAACGTAAATGCAAATGTAAAACGCAACTACGTCTACCATTTGATTAAAGCGTAAAACGACACTACGTCTACTTTTGACTCAAGCATAAAACGTGAATACGTTTACCGTTTGACACAAGTGCAAAACGGAACTACGTCTACCTTTTCACACAAGTATAAAGCGGGACTACGTCTACCTCAGGACACAAGCGTAAAACCGAACTACGTCTACCATTTGATACAGGCGTAAAACCGAACTACGTTTACCTTTTTCTCATATGTAAAATAGATATACGTCTACCGTTTTGCACAAGTGTAAAACTGAACTACGTCTACCGTTGGGCTCAATTGTAAAACAGATCTGCGTCTATCTTTTGCGTTGAGGACATCTGTGTATGAATGTAGTTATAATTGACCCATTAATCGGAAAGTCTCCTTCATATGTCCGGAACTCCGCCCACTTCGTGGAAATAATCAAAGATGCTCCGATCCTATCCAACCAGATGGTGAGCTTGGACGTGGTGAGTTTGTTCACCAAGGTGCCAACGGAGGAGGCACTCTCGGTAGTCAGAAACAGATTGGCCTCTGACTCTTCCCTAGAGGAGCGGACCAGTATTCCAATCGATAATCTGATAGAGATGTTGACTTTCTGTATACAAACAACACACTTTGGAATAGGATCACACATCTAGCGACAGGATGAGGGCTTAGCAATGGGCTCGCCATTATCACCAGCAATGGCAAATATATACATGGAATACTTTGAGGAAATGGCATTAGAATCTATATCTCTAAAGCCAACTATATGGTTAAGGTATGTAAATGACACCTTCATACTCTGGCCACACCAGGAAGATGTTCAGGTTCTACTGGACCATGTGAACTCACAAAGACCTTCGATACAGTTCACGACGGAGGAAGAGTGTAACAACACACTCCCATTCCTGGATGTTCTAATATCTCGAACAGAGCATGGGTTCAAGACATCCGTATACCATAAACCAACATTCACCAGACAGTACTTCAGTTTCAACTCCCACCATCCATACAGCGTAAAGAAAGGGATCGTCCGTTGCTTACAACACCGAGCAAAAGTCATAAGTGGCGACCCAGAGACGTTAAAGAACTGGTCAGTATAAGTAGTACCCTACAACGTAACAACTACTCTGAGTACATGGCAGCAGCCCTAAAAAACTGGAATAGACGGGTACAAGAGGAGGAGAACAACACTCAGAAAACAGTCTGCCTGCCTTATGTGAAGGGGTTATCAGAGAAAATACAAAGGATCTGCGGTCAATGTAACATCAGGACAACCTTCAAAAGCTTGATGACGCTTCGCAGATATCTCTCCCGAGTAAGACCTCCCTCCATAGAGAAGAACATGACTAAAGACTGTGTGTACGCTATCCCATGCAGCCGTGGAAAGAAATATAAAGGGGTGACAGGCCGCCTCCTTAAGTTAAGGGTTCAAGAACACCAGAAAGCTGTAACACGAGGGGAAGTGGAAATATCAGGCGTGGCTGACCACATATAGAGAGAAAAGGGAGATCACTGCCCTCTGTGGGATCAGGTTGGGATCATAAACAAAGAACATCATTGGAAAATTCGTAAACTTAAGGAATCAGCACATATGCTAGACCACAAAAATCTCCTGAGCCGACCAAGCATAGAAATGAATACAATATGGGAACCAGTAATAAGGAGTGACAGAGAAAAGTGATAACAACAACAAAAATTGCAATATGAGCTCTGGTAAAAACATGAAATGATAACATCAAAAATTGCACTATGAGCACTGGTAAAAAATGGATGCTGAAGACATTAGGTTTATAATTCCCAGAAATTCATACGCAGATGTCCTCAAGGCACAGTGGATAAAGGCATTAGTTAGACCCAGTGAGAGGACCTGAAGAGTGTGAGTTCAATACCCGGTTAAGGCAGTGGAGAACTTGAAGTGGGAAATTAACAGGAGATAACTGATAACTGACATCCATTAAACATGTCTAAATGAGCTAAATAAAGGGTTCAGTTCGACATGCGAACGGCCGAAATGTTGTAATAAATATGGCGACGAACAATAGTCCGAATAATGTAAATAGTGTACATAATATAGACAGATACTAAAAGGTATACATAATTCCGCTATACGCTTGAGTCAAAAATTAGACGTATTTATATTTTACACTTGAGCCTAGACTTAGTTCCGTTTTACAATTGATCCCAACGGTAAACCTGATTCCGTTTTAAAATTGAGGTGAACGGTATATGTATTCCCGTTTTATCGTTGGACGTAGACCCGTTTTACATTTGGGTTCAACGGTTGATGCAGTTCCGCTTTGGGCTCGATTCAAAAGGTAGACGAAGTTACGTTTTACGCCTGAGTGCAAAGGTAGACGTAGTTCCGTTTTACGATTGAGACGAATAGTAGACATACTTACGTTTTACACTTGTATCCGAAGGCAAGGCACAGTTTCGTTTTATCCGTTGTGACCCATGGCAGACGTAGTTCCGTTTTACACTTTAGTCCAAAGGCAGACGTAGTTTCGTTTTATGCCTGAGTCAAAACGTAGGCATAGTTATGTTTTACACTTAAGTAAAAAATCAGACGTAGTTCAGTTTTACACCTGTGTCAAAAGTTAGACACAGCTTCGTTTTCCACTTTAGTCCAACGGTAGACGTAGTTCCATTTTATGATTGAGTCAAAATGCAGACGTAGTTTCGTTTCACAATTGTGTTCAACGGCAGACGCAGTTACGTTTTACTCCTGAGTCAAAAGGTAGATGTACTTACGTTTTACACTTGGGACCAGAGGCAAGCCACTGTTCCATTTTTT